CTGTTTGTTTCAGCCTCTTAATGGTTCAGATGTCTGAATGGTTCAGCACTTAATGATTCAGACTGTTTGTTTCAGCCTCTTAATGGTTCAGATGTCTGAATGGTTAAGAGATTTGCCTCTGAATGGTTAAGTATTATACAGAGTCTGAATGGTTAAGACCTCTTATCTGAATTGATCAGACATTTGCCTCTGAATAGTTAAGCAATATACTAGCTCTTAATGGTTACTGGTTCAGCACTTAATGGTTCAGACCTCTTACTGGTTCAGCACTTACCTATTCAGAAGTTGCCAAACAGCCCCTAAGCAAATTCTTATTTGGAATAATTGCAGCTATGTTACTACTCCAGTCTTGGTTATTATTGATGTGCAGCCTAAAGAGCTTGGCATACCAACTAAAGCATATTATGCGGTTGAGGAAGTCAAAGAGGTAATGAAACGTCAATATTTTTACCTTGTCATTTGAGGAAGAAAAAGAAACTGGGGAAAAAAGATGAATTATTTCCATTTTTGTATTGCAACTTATCACTATCTCTGTCTTAACTGAGTCCAATTAATTGGCTGCACAAACTTGCAGAATGCAACTCAAAAGAGTCAGAAAGTCTTTGTACATGCCACCTCAGAAATTGCTGCTCATGAAGTTGAAGAGATTGGTCCGTTGGTTTGTCCCAATTTGCTCGATTCTCTGTTTTTTCCTGTCTTGGATGGGGTTTTATGGTTCTTTCATTGTGCAATCATATAAACCCTTGCCTGGCTGGGTTGCTCCTTTTTTGCTAGCTCCATTTGCATTGATTCTTCTCCATCTTCTGAGGATCACAATCTTATTTTAGCATTTACCATTTCTCTTGCATATGAATAGGGGTTGAGCACTTGCTGAGGGATGTCAAGGACACTACAATCAGTACTCTTGCAACCGAGGTTATCTTTTGCTCTTTCAACATATTTTATTGTGTGCGTGTGAAAAGTAACATATTTGCATTTCTATGTACTTTCGCATATCAAGAAATGGAAGAAAAAAACTTTTTAAGCTTAAAGTTTGATCTAATCGTTTAATATTTTCAATTTGGTCTTAGGATATTTCATTTTAGCTATCACAGTTAGCTTGGGTTTCAATTCTGGTTCTCAACCAAACATTTTGGAAGGGTGTGATATTGTTTTGGCAGCATGATTCCCATGTTAACAATTGTAATTAAGTTTAGGGGTCTTTTTCCTTTTTGTTGAGGTAAAAGTGGAGCTAAATTCCAAGCACACAACTAAATAAAATGAGGATAAGTAGGGTGCCACTTTTCTTGCCAGAACTTGTTCTCTTCAAGTTGTCTCTTATCACAATAGATTTGAAATTTTCACTATGATTGCAAATAATACGGTGTACTCCCTCCGTCCCACTATTTTTGTCTCTTTTTTTCCTTTTTGTCAATCTCAATATTTTTGTTTCATACCAATTTGGTCATATTTGTGTGGTTCACAATCAATCTTACTTTTTCCTTTTTTAACATCAAAACTATTCACACAATCTTACTTTTCTTCATTTCTGTGTCACTCCCAAATATAGTCGGGCAGAGGGAGTATTTGAAATACGTTATAGGTTTTTGTTATGACTAGAGTTAAATCAATGATCCCAACTATTTCTACGACATTTGATATCCCTTCTGACCTGTGCTTTGTTGTCTTGAAAAAAGGAGGATTAGTTTTCTTTCTTTCATATGTTCTTCTTCCTCGAATTAGATTCAGACATTTGGTAGAAGTAATGCCTACATGGGAGTGTGCCCATCGTCTCTCTTTTGACATTTGAACGTATGATGTACCAATACGTATCAAATCTTGGGAAAGCTTTTCCGATGGGGGTACTCCAAAAAAACCATACAGAAGTGTTTTAGGAAAACTTTCACTTTTGAATATAAAAGACATCCTTGGAAACCTTATCTCAAGTGCACATGACAATACCATGCTAAGTAAAAAAAACTCCGCTTTTTGCACAGGATGTGAATTCAGTGCCAAATCTATCATCTAACACTCATTTAAAACTTATTGTACCCTGAAAATATTGAAATAACCAAAGATTGTTTGAGGGAAAATGTATTTAATTTTAGAACACTTACATAAAACAGAGTTTTCCGTACAGGTAACTGGGAAACTTGCAGCATTGAAGGGGTTGGACGCTCGCCTTCAAGAGATACGGAGTTACCTTGAACTTGTCATCGATAGCAAACTTCCACTGAATCACGAAATTCTCTATCACCTACAGGTGCCAATGCTGACCTCTTTGTTATGAATGATATTATATGACATTATATGCGAACTCATCAATCCTGTCATACACTGTTCTTCGTTATTATTATTATTATCATCAATATTATTATGCTATAAAACAGACAGATTAATAATGCTGAGATGGTTGGGGATACTCTTTGCAGGATGTTTTCAATCTACTTCCCAATCTTAATGTGGCCGAGTTAATTAAATCATTTGCAGGTGAAGTAACAAATTATGTTTAATGCTATTTTCAAAACTAGTGGGTAGTGAGGTAAACATGTCTTAATTTAACCAGGAATTTTTTGATGTTGTCTTGGTGCAGTTAAAACAAATGATATGATGTTGGTCATATATTTGTCTTCACTTATTCGAAGCGTGATTGCCCTGCACAACTTAATTAACAACAAGGTATATAGCTATCTTCTTTACTAAGTATTTTAATTATGGTGTTTTTTTTGCTGCTTTTCTATGAGAAATGCTAGTCAACCCCAATTTTCACCCCACATTTCCCTTCAGGCACGGGATCCTCTGTCCCAAACCCGTGTCCCAACTCCTTGTCCCACCAATCAAAATGTGACACATAACACACCCCAAGGTTCTCATAGACATAGAACATTGACAGAACAATAAAAATGTACATGGATGTCTTTGAGAGGGTGGGGTAACCCTAGCATGGTTCCTTTTCTATAGCATATATCATGGGTTAAACCTTGGGAATTTCCAGTATTATACATTATCCCCTTTACAGTTTACACCAATTTCTATTTTTTTTGGCTATTTATGAATATTGACATTAAGATTTTGGATGGGGTTGATTAGCTGCTTAACAAGGAACATGAGAAGGCAGAAGACTCAAAGCCTGTTGTTGCTGTGCCTGCTGCTGCTGGAAGCTAGGGAACAAAACTTTGTGTATCATAGCTTTGGTCTTCCCCTTTTTCCCTACACAACTAAAATGGGTTAAATCTTTCAGATTTCATTAGAGTTGATTTATATAGTTATGTTTTTTTTTCTACTGTTAGACAATGTTTTATTATTCTGAGGGACGTGCACCTATGGGGCCATGTGAAAACCTCATGAACATCTAAACTTTTTGGCTTTGCGTAGTGTGTGACACCTAGGCATTTTGATGCATCAATCATAACAAGACTCGTTAAAATTTGACCCGGCATGTTTTTTGCCTTTTGAGATTGAGATTCCACCATCGGACACCGGGTTTTGATCTACATATGATTTTTTCACGTAAACTCGATATGACTTGTTGAATACTACGTATATGGGTATCTTTTGAAGCACCTAATATATTTCATTGGTAAAATTGATAGTTGTTACTTTCTATAATGACCTGAGCATTTTGAAAATGACCTGAGAATGACTCGAGAAAATGCCGATTTGGGCCCGACAATTTACGGTTGAGGGATTTTGATGGTGAGGAGGATATAAACATCAACTTATAAATAGAGCATCGCAGGTGATTCAAATCATTTTAAGGTCAAAAAGTTTGGGTCAAAAGAATTGTGGTGCGACGAAGTTAAGCCCGACGATAGTGAATGATGAGCACAACGGCAGAGGGATGAAATTCTAGTTGTGGATCCGACAAGCCATCTCCTCCGATCAATATGTGGATGGAACTAGTGAGGTAAAGCGTTGAAGTAGGTGAAGGTGGGGGTGGTGACGACGGCGATGATGATTGTGGCAACAACGACTTATACCCTAGCGAACGGTTCCTCTTTAGTTGTGACTCCCTGTGGCATGGTGGTGGGCTTCTTCTCCTGCAGGTGGTTTGAGGTGAGAACACTACACGGCTTTAGAATGAACATTACGTTGTTTTAGAATGAACATTATATTACTCTATAATGAACACTATGTTGTTTGAGAATGAACAATATCTTACTATGTATATATCAATGAAATCACGTTCTTTCAGAATTAACATTATGTTGTTCGTAAATGAATAGTATAATTGTAATGAAGAAATGTGTGAAAATATACAATATGTTGCTTCAAGATAAACTGTATGTTCATTCAAAATGAATATATTACCGGATGTACTAAGCTCTATGTACACTCGATTGTACAGTAGACCTTCTCCTATTTAGTTTAAAATTACACTCTAATTAGTGTAATTCAAATCTTTTCTTGTGTTCAGTACTGAGGTGTATTTAACTACAGTACTATTTAGTTTAAAATTACACTATAATTAGTTCAATTTAGTATTGCTCAGTTGAATTCAACACAGCTTTGATCAAAATTACTGTAAAATCATTTTCATTCAATTGCATTTAGTTCCGATGAGCTCCGGCCATAAGAAGTTTGAAAACACACTGATTATGGAATTTCTGTGAGTGAAAGCAATCTTCTTCTCTGAAAAATCTAGGGTTTACTGTTTCTCTAAACCTCAAGAGTTGAAAGTTGAAACTCAGCATCCATTAACACCCCATCCATAACGTGCACAACAATCTTCCCTCTCCTCAAATCCACAGCCTCCGATCGAACTCCGTTCACCCACAGGCGGCCCTTCGCATCCTTCCCGGCGAACAGAGCAAACCCAGAAATGGAATCGTACATGATCTCCTCCCCGTCACCCACATCCTCCCAGAAGATCATTCTCGGGACCGCCGCGAACCCCAACACGCGAGTGAGCATCGCGTGGGTGTCCCCGTCTTCGTTCGGCGGAGAGCTGCCGTTCAGCGAACGCCGCCGCAGATTCAACAGAGCTTTCTCCGACGGCAGGAATAATGTGAACCCTAGATCGTCAGGCAACATTCCGATCACCGATTCTCCCAGAGTTCCGATCAGCTTCTTCTCACCTTCCCGTGAGCGGATCGTGCCGTTGGGCTCGTGGATTTTGCGGATTGAGATGAAAAGGATGAAGGTAAAGGCAGTAGGGATGAAGACGCAGAGGAATTTTATTGGATCTGTGGGGTTTTTTCTTTTTCTCATGTTTCCAGACCTGCCAAAGGATCTTTTGACCAGCCACTGTAACGTTTCATTCGACCTGCCACCGATTCAAAATTCGGATATTCAAAACTCCGGGTATCCGATAATTTTCTGATTCAACATGAAATAAGGAGTAGATATTTACTGATTCAAAAATTTTGGATATCCGAAAAATTAGATTGAATCGGATATATACGAATGAGCATTCCTACATGCGAGAGTATAAAGATATTGAGCATTTTTTTACAATACATATAACACATTTTGAATCCGAGTCACCCTATTAAGAAAAAAGCTCGCTTTCACCTATATACTGATTATACTCTCTCTGTCTTTTAAGATATTCTCATTTTGAAATTTGGTGGTTTTTAAGGAAAATTGAAAAAAGTGAAAGTTTACCATAATACCCTTAATGAAAATGGGTGGAGTGTATTAAATGAGATGGGTGACTTGTCATAAATAAAGTAAGTGAGGGTAGTTGTGGTATTTAAATTGTTAAAAAATGAAATGAGAAGATCTATTGTGAACAAAGAAAAATGGCTATTGGAAAGATCTATTGGGGACGGAGAGAGTATGAGTTTGAGAGTTTGACTATGTCTTCGTAGGTATCACTGTTACGGATATTCTAAAAAATCTCAACCCTAGTTGGGGCATGACCAAACGAGTAGGGCAAGCAGTATATACTAACACGTGGGTCGGCGATGAAATTTCTTGTGGTGTGCCGCAATGCGAGGTGCTGATTAGTATAAAAAAATCATCTTCTAATGTTTGGGCCGGGTAGCATTGCGCAATTTTCAAGACAAGGGGTGTCCAATGAGATTATATCTGAATTTAATTTTAGACAAGTGCGATAAGATGGAACTGTGTTAAGGATATATCATCTTTCAATATCAGATGTATGCTCCATTCTTTACCATTAATCTGTGACGGCGAACATGCGACGACAAAAGAGGCAACTACGTACGGTGATGACTGCAACAACGAGGGATGCCAGCGATGAAAAAAGATAAAATTGCATGAAGAGATGAGACCCCAGTGGCTTATTTTTATTCGATTTTTTAAATCGATTATTAGCAATAATTGATTCAAATTAGTACTAATAACCGATTTAAAAGAACAGAGGTATTTAAATTGGTTATTAGAGATAACCGATTCAAAAGATTTTTGAATCGGTTATAGCTAATTACTGATTCAAATATTTCCGGTTGGAAAAATTCATTACCGAGAAAACCGATGCAAATGGATTACTCTCTTCCCTTTTGTGTATTTATTCAACTTTGAGTATTTTTTGCAATTAATCATTTTTTTATATTTCTTCTCAAATTAATTAAATTTATGTGGTACATTAATTGGAGAAAATAATATTTTGAATATGTTTTATAAAATAAATATAATAAAACTATTTTTATCCAAATATAATATCAATATATTCAATTAGTGATTAAATATTATCAATTTTGATTACAAAAAATAAAAACTAGATAAATATTTAGGGTTAGAGGGAGAATTAAAATAAAAAAATAATCTCAATAAGATTTAAACACTGTCAGCTTAACAAAATATAAAACTCGGATAAAATTCTATAAATTAATTACCCATTTCGTCCACTTAGATTCTTTTCAATTTGACTTGCATGGTTAATAATTTTAAATTTCGATTATAAATTTAAAAAAATGCATTGATTTCTAATATAAATTTAATGTTAATAAATTCATTTTCATTTCTATAAAAAAGAGTATATAAATCTATTTATTAATAATTATATTGATTGTAAAAATGTAGTACTAAACACGGTAAAAAGTCAGATAAAGAAAAATATAAGTAGATACAAAGAGCAATAATTAACTCATTTACATAATCTTAATCGAGTTTGATTTTTTCTCGAGTAAAATTGAATGAACTTTAATATATACAATAGTTAATTTCATTAAAGAAAATTTTACTTAAGTGAATTTTCCTTTATGGCAAGACAAGTTTTAATTTACGTAACTAGTACCTAATTAATTAATTAATTATCAATTCTAGTGTAGTAAAATACCTTTCAATTTATACAGAGTACGTAGTATAATTTATATTTACTGCTCTACCACCTCCTACTGTCCTCCGTCGGCTATCAATCACAAAATACCGACATTAGTGCCCTGCATGCCACTCCTTTAATGTCTATTATGCAAGATTTAATGATTTTTGTGATTTCACTCTAATAGCATCTAATAACATTGTTAGTGTCTACATGTTCCATGTCAAGACATTACCGGTTGAAAAAAAACATTGTCGCAATTATAAATGTCCACTACATTAGCTATCAATATTTCTATTCGATCAGTAAACAATGTCTATAATTTTTATAATATCACATGTCCATAATCTTTATAGCGCCCCTGATCAGTGAATCATGTCAATAATTTTTACAATGTCCATCAAAATGAGAATACAAGCAGACAAATCACGGAAAGACGGAACCAATCAAAGGGAGAAAAATCAGTCTACCCCGGAGTATATTTTATACAAAATACTCCTTCCGTTCCAAAAAGATTTACACCTTTCAAAAAAATTGTGTCTGACAATCTCCTACCCATTTCTATTAAAAAATTACTTTTATCTATTACTTTTTCAAACCCTACCTATCACATCATACCTTTTTCCTAATAATCTACACATCACATCCTACTTTTACCTATCACATCAAGGGTATTTTTGGAAAGTCAACACAAAATTATCAATCCCTTAATTTCTATTTTTAGTCAAAATGAGTAACACTTTATGGGACGGAGGGAGTACAAAATAATTAAGATATAAAGGTATTTTAGTAAATGTATATTATTAATAATTAATTAAATGTTAGTTTTGAAAAAAAAAAACTTATTCCGTGCCATTTGGAAAAAAGTGTTAACTTTTGACATACTTTGAACAAATTTCACTTTCATTAACACGTCATATATGTTCTCTTCCAATTCACCCGCCACCTCCATCGCCGCCCTGCCCCTCCACAACTTCATGTAGATTTAATTTATGCCATATGTTTTTTCTACTCTACGCCATCGCCAGCGGCAGGAGCACAGCAGCGGGCGAGGCATCACCCAGACATGCTTGTCATGTCACCTCATTTCTTCATTTGCCTCGCGAGGCTTCTGTGTTCCTCCATGCCAAGGCGCAAGACATCCTCCTAGTGCTTTTTTAATTTTTTTTGTAGAAGAAATAAAAAAGTTTTTTTTCGAAAAGGGGTACATTACATTTATTTTTTATAAAAGTAAATGAAATAATATTTAATACTTAAAATGTGTGTAAATTTATATTCCCTCCGTCTTAGTGTATTTGTCTAGTTTGACTTTTTCGAGTCAAACTGGACAAACTTTAAGTTTCAATTAATTAAAAGTCGTAATGCATTTTAACATAAAAGTGACTTCATTAGATTTATCATATCGAAACTTTCAAAATTGTATTTCATTATGCTAATATGCAATATAAATTGAAAGTAATTGGGATTCAAAATTTGTCCAGTTTGATTTAAAAAACTCAAACTGGACAAACACACTGAAACGGAGGTAGTAAAAAATAACAAAAATAATGACTTGCCTCTGTACGACATGCTTGATATTCCGTACACTTGTCACATGTATACTGAATTTTTTTGTTTGTAGAAATATATCACGCCAAAGTGCGACATTCTATTTCATTGTCCGGTCATTGCTGATGCTCTAATTAATGGCACTGAAATATGCTAGGATGCTACGCATGGGAGAAGAGTTACGAGTTGGAACGAATAAGGAAAAATATAATTCGGAAAAAAACTTTGTACGCATATATTTGTTTTAATATTAATTAATTATAAAAAGCTTTTCTTTTCAATAGGGGAATTAAAGTATAAAATTGTATTCAACTATCCAAGTACTTATTATGTCAAATTGAATAAGTTTTAAATATCAGTTAACTAAATTCCATTGTATATATTTATACAACAGAATACAACAACAACAATCCAGGTGAATCCCACAACAGAATAAATTTTTAAAAATTTTTTATGAGAAAAATAGAAGTAAATAAATTTTGTACTAATATATAATAAATGGTTTTTTGAGGGGATGAAAATATTGTAAACACGTAGCAAAAATAAGCAGTAGCTCGAGTAAAGACAAGCAAAGAGATTACCATCGCCCGATATTCTCGCAGTACCGTACTAGCTGGGCAGCGGGGCAGGGAGGGGCAGGACGGGCTGATATTTTCTCTGTCTCCCTCCCGTCTATATAGGGATACCGTTCAATCCCTGAATCTTCAATAGTCCGTCTGCTCTCCGGTCATCTCTATCCGGTCGTCATCTCTACTGTAAGTTCTACCATTCCATCTATCCCTTTTTTCTCCTGCTGACACGCGCACACACACACACACAGTCGCCGGAGTAGTGCCGGTATATATGCTCTGCACTCCGGCGACCGGGCCGGCGGCGAAAATGTTTGTTTTTTCCTGGATTTATATCATTTCCCGGCCTGGCCTGCTGCTCTAATCTGTTACGAGTACGTATTACTCCGTTCGTATTTGTTAATTATTGGATTATTTCATCCAAATCTTACTTTCCGGCCGTTCAAAATGAAATTTCTTATGATTTCCAGATTTCTTTTTTGTTTCGTTTACAATGTTTTAATTTACTCCGTAATGCATCACTGTTCATTGTTTCTGCTCATTATTTTGATCGATCCGATAGTTTTGATTTTACTTATCTCATGTAAGGTGAATTTTTAACTCACATGAGCAGGCCTTCCAAAGCCGTACGGAATATTTACTCTGCTCAGTATTTATTACTGTATATTGTTGCATAATTGCATTTGATCATTTGATTCATTTCAAATTCGGTTTATATACCGATTACTACCTCCCTTCACTAAATGTCAATTCTGATTTTTTAGGTCAATTTTTTTTATTTTTTGATTTATAATTAAATAAAATATATATTGTATATTAATTAGATAAAATAATATTTTGAAAATATTTGATATAATAAATACGGAGTATAATAAATGTAATAAAATTATTTTTATATTAATATCCAATATTATTTTTATTTAATTTAAGGTCAACATTTACCCATTTTAACCAAAAAAATCAAGAGTAGACAATTAGGTAGGGATGAATGGAGTATGATTTACTCAGTTTTTTTTCTTTTTGGTCCAATTTATCCGTGGACTCATAAGATTTAATTGGAAATAGCTAGGAGATAGATGGTTCAAATAGATCACTGAAACAAAAGTAGTGTTTATTTATTTGACTAGTGATCAAATTAAAGTTAAGTATGACATGAAAAAATGGAATTGGAACATATTTCAGGGTATAGTTTTATTTTTATAGTTGAAATTTATTTACTTATTTTCAATTCATTACTTATTTCATAATAGGAAGGATAAAATAGCTATGCATGTCATACCTTATTTTATACTCTCTTGATCTCCATCCAGATTCGACCATTATCATTGATATTCATACATAGATATATTTATAAAATTTTTGTATTTCAAAATTACGTTTCAAAGAAAATTATTGATATTATTATTGCATTAATATCCAAACACAATTTCTACATATCAAGGTCAAAATTATAATATTTGACCAAGAGATAGAGGGAGTGTTCATAAAGTATTTTGAATCTTGCATATTGGGTCTTATCAACTGAGCACTCCTTTTGTTCACAAATTATCTTTTCATTTTAATTTTCATGAAATTAAATGTACTCCGTAATATACTAACCTAGTCACTATCTTGAAACAAGTTTTAGGTTCTCTTTGATCAATCATAGAACTATGATGGCAAAACTCCTTTTTTAAATATATATAGTTGAAAATTTTCACACTACTTCCATCTCAGAGCAAGCATGGACTCTGTGTCGGGAGGTGCTTCACTAGGCGACACGCCACCAGCTACACCAGAGAGGCGTCGGGAGAGCCGACTCCGACAGCTTGTAGCCTACACATGGGCTAGTGTTTTAGCATTTTTCTCCCCGCCGGCGGCCGCTGCATCTGCATGGGCTACTCGTGTTTTAGCCGCCTTCGGGAAGTAGCTCACTCTCAAGGTAATTAACTTCTCCACACACTCACTAAATACTACGTACTCTCTAATAAATGTTCTTAATTATCATGCATGCACATTTATGGAGTCAAATTTATTCTATTCTCTTTGTTTCATTTGGACCTCAACGTACAACTTCTATAAAAGCTAGCTAGACGTACTTGACCAAATTAAAGTGGTCGGAGGCCTGGCCGGGTTTCGAGTTAGACTAGAATACCATGTTACGAGAAATTTTTAACCCAAGCTTGGCCCGGTCCTTATATCGAGCCAAACAGTTGAAACCGAGCCCAGCCCGCATAGGTACCTGCGAGCTTTGGACCGACTCACCGACGCGCATGATTAATATTTTTTTACATAACCAAGAAATAAAACTTAAATATAGAAATGTCTTATTTCCTCTCCCTCTTAAAGTCCTCATTTTGGCTTTTAAGAGAATTAAGAGAGAGATGTTTTTGTGCTCACTTTTCAAAAATACCCTTAATATGATGACTAAAAGTAGAATGTGATTGTTTTATACTCCCTCCGTCTTGCTATATTCGTCTACTTTTGATTTTTGAAACTATTCATCTAAGCACTTTGACTAATCAAATTCTCTCAATGTGTAAGCCTAAATATAGTCATGTGTGATCTTGTTTCATTTGTCTTAACATATAGATTATTAATATATAATTTCTATAATTTTTTAATATACAAATTACAAGATAAAATGGATTAAAGAAGTGTATTGGAAGGTGTGTAAAAATGAAAGTGGACAAATACTTTAGGACGGAGGTAGTAATTCGTAAAAAGATATAATGAGATAAGTTGGATAAAAATTAATAGGGGTAAAATAATTTTTTTAATAGAAATGTGCAAGACTTTATGAGACAATGAAAAAAGAAAAGAGAAGAAGTTTAGGAGATGGAGTAAGTAATAGTCCTAGACTCCTAGTGTCTTGTGCCAGTTTATTTTTTTTTTGGGTCAAACAAGAGAAACTTTGAGCTTCAATTGAATAAAATAGTAATGTAAATTAGTAAAAAAAATGATTTTATTAGAAAAATCATATCTTGTTGGAAAGTTTCAAAATTTTATTTTATTATAGTAATATTAAATACAAATTGAGAGTAATAGGATCGAAAATCAAAGTTTATCCAGTTTGACTCGGAAAAGTCAACTAGACAAAAACATTAGGACGACGAAGGTTGTATTTGATATGAAAACTATGATGAATATATTGTCAAGGAATCGACTAATATATGCAAGGTGTTTTGTTTGATAATATTCTTTTATTTGTTTGAATATAATGACCAAAGTACGATAAAAAATGCTATGTATTTGCTCTTGAGTATTTGTCCAGTTTTGACTTTTTGGGTCAATGGTTTTTAACCTTTGATCTATATAAAGTATATGTTGTTTACTAATTAGATAAAATAATATAAATATATTTGATATAATAAATCTAATAAAACTAGTTTTGAAGTCAAAGTTGACCTATTTCTAATAAATAAATCTAATAAAACTAATTTTTAAAAATATTTGTATCAATATCTAATACTATTATTTTTATTTATTTTGAAGTCAAAGTTTACCAATTTTGATCGAAAAAAGTTAAAAGTAGACAAATACGGATGGAGTACAAAAAAATGTGAACATTTGATTAAATAAACTTATACGAATCTCTCTTTTTTTTTCAAAATAAATATGTATGTGTCTCTATATAGTGTTACTCTGTAAAAAATATTGTTGTTGTTACACAGCATTATTTTATGCTAATGTAACTATCATCATCATCATTATATTATTATTATTATTATTATTGTTAAACTATTGAGAACAATATGGGGAATATTTTCGTATGTGTTTTATTGAATACAAACTTGATCACTATATAACTATATATAGCTGTACAAGCTAAGGCAACATCTCCCCTTATTCTCCCCTTATATTATTATCCCCCCTTATATTATATCCCCCCGTATATCCCGTATATTATAAGGCTCAATACCGTTTCTCTCCGTCAACTTCGCCCTTTTTCCGTCACAGCTCCGTCCCATTCCCACGATCCGCCTTCCAAATTTCACAGCCACCGCCCCACAAGCTTTGCCTCCGTCTGTTCTCCCACTCTCTACCATTTTTCCTTACCTTCTCGCAATTCCGACACCGCCACAGCCACCGCCACGCGACATTTCTGAAGCTCTGCATCAATTTTGTTCAATTTTGATTTGGAACCGAAGGACGAACGCTATTCGCCGCCCACCGCCCCACGATGTCTCACGCTTTTCACCCCTCAGCTGTTATATCCTTTATCTCCTTCACTGTCCTGTTTCTATACGGCTTTCTTCTTCATATACCAGGTATGTCGATCTTCTTCACACATCTTCAAATCCTCATACCTCATAATCTTCAAATCTGTACCTTCTTATGCTCTGAATTCCAATTTCTGCAAATTTGAATATTTTTTCTTTTAACATGATTTTGGGTAATGTGATTTCTGAAGCTCTGCATCAATTTTGTTCAATTTTGATTTGGAAAAAGGCCGGGCCCTTTGGCCATTCTTGAATTTATTCTCATCTGAAATTTTGGTTGCAGAAAAAAATATAAAAGAGTGTAAAGATTTATGACTAAATAGAGTAAATAAGTCCACTTAAAAAGTGAATTCACGTATAGAGTTTAAGTGCTTGCCTTATGTCTGTCATCCATTATTTCAGTTCTTATTTGGAACAAACGTTCACATACAGATACAAACTGAATTCATAGACTTCTTTTTATATGTGTAAGTGACATCTATTTGTTCTTTGGTAATGTGATTGCATATATAACATATGGTTCGTAATTGGTATGTTAGCTCAAATCAGAATGGTTTGTTTCTGCACTTTTTGTTAATGGATCATTGTGTTCTGTGGCTCAGAATTTTCTGCACATCATCTGCTCACTTGGGGTTTTCTGCTTATTCCCTAATAATAATTTTTCAGCAAAATTTGTTTATCTGATAGCTATAAATTTTGACTTCTGTTTTTCACTTTTATTCCATTTTGCATTCCTCAGCTCAGGTACCAACTTTTACATGTATTTTGACTTCTCTAACACTATTTCTACACTTTATTCATAATAAGTTTGTCAAGAAGTCTGAAAATGTAGTTTTAGGCCTACTGGAGTCATAGGCAGTGTTGTTCTGCATATTGCTAAAAGTATGGATTTTTTGTATCCATTGAGCAAACACTGATTAAAGTTGGAACGGTGTAGTTGCAGTGGGTGGCAAAATAGGGTTAGCGCCAATTTCTTTGGGGACTTCGTTTTTTTTGGTAAATCACATTAGGACTAAAATTTGCCCAAATAACCAAGGTTTAGTAATAGAATTCCTCGCATATTCATACGTCCATACCTTTTTTAGACTTTATAGCACTTACAATTGTGCTTAAGATATGTGTCTGTATATGCCAAACATAGTGAGTGGATTCTTAGCCTCAAGCATTCATCTTGGTATAGGTGATGAATTCTTCCTTCTTTTCTCGTTTCATACAAAGTTGTTTTTTTATTTCCCTTTCTTTTCTCTGCATTTTCTCGTTATAAAATGGAAGGAACAACTGGCCTTGAGCGGTGTGAGGAAGCCGCCACTCTGAAACTCAAGAATCTATTGACATATGCATGCAATCATATGATTATGTAATAAAAAATACAGGGAACTCATTCAATTGAGATACATGGAATGTATGATGAATTTGAGCTTCTTGAAGTAATTGCAGTCTCTAGGCCACTTGTCCCACCTTAGCCAATATTTGAAAGGGACCATAGAACTTAGGAACTAGCTCCTTATTATGGCTCTAAAGTAGGCCATACCCAATCTCCCAACTTCATTTGTCTTTCATACATGTGCTTATCTGCTTGCATCTTCATTCTATGCCGAGCCCTTAATTTTAAGAATTGAATCATAGCTTCTCTTCTTTGGAGGGATCTATCAACAGCCTCAACCTTAGTTTCTCCTCGTAGCCTCGTGGTTAAGGCAAGTGATTGGGAGGTGGTTGACTGAACACAACTTTGTAAGGTATCATCTGAGTAGATGAGTGAAAAGGGGTGGTGTACCGTCATTTTGCCTTGGAAACCCAATTACTCCATTCCTTTAGGTGACTACTACACATGCACTTTAGATAAGCCAATATGGATAAGCGGCATAAGCCTCTAGGCACCTGTTCAGAGTTCACTACTTTTTTTTTATCATCAATTTGAGGGTGATAAGAGGTTGACAATAACAAATCGGTGTCTTGGATAGTCATCAATGCCCTTCAATATCTTATCCCTATCACTCACAATACTTTGAGGCCATCCATGAAGGTCAAACACATTCTCTAGATAGACACTTTCAAGGGCTGCAATAACCCAGGATAAGGACTATTGTCATACTTACAGCTTTGGCATACCACACACTATCTAATATGACTTTGCACCTCCTTGGTCATACCCTTCCACACAAACAGGGTTTTAATTTCTTCACTGTTGCATCTTTCCCTCAATGTCCTCTCATAGGTGAATTGTGGTACCCATCTGAGAATTTGAGCTCTTAGGCTAGCATCTGGCCCAATCACCAACCTTCCTTTTTTTCTCATCAAGTTCCCTTGCAGGCTATGTTTACTCACTCCCACACCCTGTTGAAGTTTAGCTATAGTTTCCATCAGATTATTCTCCAACTAATAGCTTTCTTCAATGCCCTTAAAAATTTCAGTTTGCACCCCAAAAAGGAAAAAATAGCCAAGGCCAGTAATTCCGACCCTTTGACCCTGGATAAGGCATCTGCCACTACATTTTCCTTTCCTTTTCTATAGTGCATTTCATATTGAAATCTCATCAACTTGGATAGCCGGAATTGTTGGAAGGGTGTGGAAATATTCTGCTCTAGGAGCCACTTTAAGCCTTTTTTATCAGTAATAATCACAAAAGTGTTACTACTTAAGTGTTGTTCCCATTATTGTACTGCATGCACCACTGCAAGCAGCTCCTTCTCATATACTGATAATTCCTGGCATTTAGGTTCAAGAGTTTTGCTTAGAAAAGCTAAGGGATGATTAACCTGCACAAGAGCAGCTCCAATCCCATAAGTAGAAGCATGAGTTTCCACCACAAATGTTTTAACAAAATAAGGGAGACCCAAGACTGGTGCAGTAGTGAGGGCTATTTTTAATTCCTCCACCGCCTGTGTAGCTTCAGTGGTCCACTTGAAGTTCCCCTTTTTTAATAGTAAGGCCAAATAGCATTACACCTCAGAGGAGACTTCGACAGGGTGATCCTTTTGGGGTAAGAGAGCTGGAGGAGGGCCGACCTCGTTTCAACCTAAATTAAGTATGCAGATTTTATTTAGTTCAAAATGAGTTGCGTGTATTAGGTTCCCAAATGCACATAGGAATTCAGAAATTAATAGCTTTTAAAACTTAAACCAATCCCAGTGGAGAAGTTTCCAAGTTGAGGCGATTACTTGAGACTTCACTATGTGTGATCTTTTTTTTATATCTCATCTTTGCAAACAGAAAAAGAGTCAATGGTTTCATTTGTTAGATATAATTTGTAATTCAAGTCCTTAGTTTATTCAGTTTTATTTAAAATTTGTAATTTAAAATCAAATGTACTGTTTTTAGTTATGAACATATATATATATCTTCTGTTTTTCAAAAATATAAAAAGTTAAACTTCCTATGCATAGAAGAAAAAAAGAAGAGTCTTTTGGGTTGAATTCTAACTCTTTTGACTTAAATGACTCACTAAATTTGTTTTTTTATTATTTCTTCTTTTATTCATTTTTGTTAGACCTTTTTCATAATATAATATTCTCCAAGTCTGTTCCTACTTTCAAGATTTTTTCTCATATGTGCTCATAATTTGTGTAATATAATCTTTCCATTCCCTTGTTTGCCGAGGTAATGACAATATTCACAGTGTGATATGATTCAATAGGGAAAAAAAATGAAAAGGAATTGAATGAACATAAGGGGTTTGAAGCCGCCTGATTCAGGCACATAAAAGATGTATGAGAAATTAATTTGCTCCGTGAGATATAAAATCTCCATAGTCTTCATTTTAAACAATATAAGTGCCCCTAGTTTTTGTATAAATTGGGAATCGTAAATTAGGGAGTAAGGGCTTAATTAGCAGAGGAATCGAGGAAGGTTTGTACACAGGATGAAGAAATGAATACATTAAATCATTACTTATACATTAAGTATTAAACATAAAAAGAAGATTAGTTATTTAAATCACTTATTTCCTAATTTTCAATATTTTTCTTATACTTTGTGAAATCAAACTAAGAAACAATTGCGAGACACGAAAGTATATTATAGAAATATTTCTTCACTTATATTAGTAGATGTTTACACTTATTAGTTGTGTAATTACAAAATGTGCTGCTTATGAAATTATTTGCTTCATTGATTTGTCTTGTCAACAATTGCTCTAATCCAAGCTTAGAGAGAAGACTCATGCTTAAAGCAAAAGGAAGATCGTTGGTGTATTATTGTGTATATTTGGCCAAAGGGAAAAATAATAACTGATGGTAGCTTCTTTCTGTTCTTTTTGTGTGGATATTCTTGATTTTTTTTGGATATGCACAAAAATGCACACCATTTAATGTTGTAGGAAATAACTATTGCTTCCACCTTTGCTACTATCTTGATAAATCCAAAATTCTTTGTGTATAAGTCTATTTAATATCTTCTCAAATTACCTATCTACTTTTTGGGCACCAGACGCACAAGGGGCGTCCAAAGCTAGTCTACCATATATTCCTTATTTCCTTAACAGAAACTTATATGTGTCAGGTGAATGGTTTATGGGGAAGATGCCGTTTATGGGCAGTTTATGGTATGCATCAGATTCAAGAGAAGTGTGATGCAGTTATGGTGCTATGGCTCACTATTTGTCTCTTTCTGAGCATACTTCTTTTAAATGGCTGTGAGAGTTTCTTCAGTGCTGGAAGGATGGGGATGCTCCTTACTATCTTGGTTCTTGTCATTGTTACCCCTATTGGAAGCATTTTAATCACCTTGGCAGTTACATCACAGTTTTTTGCATGGTTGGCTGGTTTAATACTACGAAGGACCCCATTAACTCTTGCCCTTGAGGCATTCGTTGGACTTGTTTCTGGGATAGTTATGAGCTTATATGTCGTGGAGACTAATGGGTATAAACAATTGGCTTCTTTTGCTTAGCTGGGGTATGGCTTGCTGTCCTGCGCACTGCACGCATGCGATTCGACTATGGTTTTTTTTACTTCTTTGTTGGCTTCGGGGACTTCTCGTGCTTTGATGTATGAGAACACTAAACCGGGGTTAGTCACTCTCATAGCAGTTGCCGTTAGTTGCTTCATTGTCTACCTGCGTGCTGTTTCGGAGGCAAAGGACGGACCGCTTTAATTTGCTTGGAGCTGATGTATGCATGTGTGAGGCCGTGCCTGCTGTGAGAGGCGATGGGTTTTATCTGTCTTTCTACATTGTAGTTTAATTTGATTTGGATGTTGATGGATTATGGATATGACATCTAGATGCTGTTTTGTATGCTTGATTTGAAATCTCTATCTCTGTTATGTTCATTTATTCTATTCACTGCTCTTTTGATTTGAAATCTCTATCTCTGTTCTGTTTTTCATTTTCATTTTCATTCCAAAGATTCTATCTTTCTCCTTTCTTCTGAAGCCTCATTGGTTTCCTCTTCATCTTTGTTTTGTTCCTTCCCTTACAAGTTGAAAAAAAAACTCAACTTGTCCCTTTTCGTTAGATAAAGAAAAGATAAATTAAAGATGGCTGATTTTTCCCATTTATACTCCCTGCTATGATCTATCTGGTTTCCCCTTTTCTTTGAATTCTTGATTTAAGGAGCTAGGGTTCTTGATTTATGGTAGAGAGAGAGAGAGAGAGAGAGAGAGAGAAAATTGCAGATTTTTTGATGTTCTTTGCAATTGTTATTATCTTTTTTTGCTCTAATGAGTATACTGAATTTGGCATTCTGGGTTTGCTTCTTCTGTTCATCTTTGGGCCTAATTCAAAACAATGGCAGTTCAAGTGATCTGCTGGCCTTGAAGGAATTTGCAGGAAACCTAACCAATGGTCTGATGAATCCAATTCCAGCTGCTGCAACTGGGATGGCATTGAATGCGAAGAAGACGAAGACGAAGAAGAAGAAGGGAGGAGGGTGATCAAGTTGAATCTATCTGGGAAAAACCTGCAAGGGGTTGTTCCAAAATCCCTTGAGAATTTGGGACATTTGAGGTTTCTTGATCTCTCCCACAACCATCTGGAGGGTGGGGTGCCCTTGGATTTCTCCAAGCTGGCCCTGCTTGAGGTTCTTGATTTGAGCCACAACTCTTTCAATGGACAGATTCTAGGGTCACTCTCAAAAGGGCTGGAAAAACTCCACGCAATCAACATCTCCAGCAATCTATTCACAGGAAACTCCATTGCTGATCTTCTTCAGCTCCCATATCTCCATGTCCTCAATATCAGCAACAATTCTTTCTCTGGCTCTCTCACCTCACCCGTTTCCAATGTCTCCACAAAAATAAGAACTTTGGATTTCTCGATGAACCGTTTCTCGGGTGAGCTTCCCCAGTCTCTATACTCCATCTCGTCATTGGAGCGGTTTTCGGTCTCTGAGAATAGCTTATCCGGGCAGTTAAGCCCGGAGATCAGTAAACTTTCCCAGATGAATTCATTGGTTTTATATGGAAATAGATTCTCTGGTGGGATTCCTGATGTTTTTGGCAGTTTGGTCGGACTAGAGATTTTGGTTCTGCATCCGAACCTGTTCTCAGGGCGTTTGCCTCCCACACTGTCACTTTGCTCAAACTTGACAACACTTGATGTTAGGAACAATTCATTGTTTGGTGGCATTGATCTTGACTTCACTGGTTTGCCTAAACTCTCCTTTCTCGACCTCGCGTCCAACAACTTTTCAGGGCCGCTCCCGGGATCTCTCTCCGGTTGCGGGGCGTTGACGGTTTTGAGCCTCTCGAAGAACCGGTTGAACGGCTCGGTTCCCGAGAGCTACAAGAACCTCTCGTCCCTCGTGTTCCTCACATTGTCCAAGAACCGGCTCACGGGCACTATCAGTTCTTCAGCACTGTCAAAGCCTTGCTGCTCTCATCCTCACCAAGAACTTCGAAGGCGAAGAGATCCCGAGAAACGTGACCGGATTCCAAAACCTGATAATCCTCGCGTTGGGGAACTCGAGGCTCAACGTGACCGTATTGAGATCATATACTAACTCCGTCTTCTAAAACATTTCATGTTTTGTCTTTTGGAGGAGAAATAGCAGAAGAAAACCAACTAAATAGGAGTAAACCATGGACCATATTTTAAAATAGGAGTTCAAACTTAAACTCGCCTAAATAAGAGTAGTTAATTAAATAGTATAACTTTTGATTAACCCTTCCGCACAAACCAAGTTGGCCGAACAAAGAAGTTGGGCGCACAACTTAAACCAAAGTTGGACTCCCACTACTCATTAAACAAAACTAGTGACAAATAGTAGACTCCCAATACTCATTAAACAAAATTAATGACAAATAGTAGTGTTACTTGATATTTACCCCCTTTCGACATTATGCATTAGCATTTGCGATATATGACATTATATATTGACATATCTTTCATTATACATTACTAGAAATGATATTATACAATGTCAAGATTGTCATTATCTTAATTTGTTTAACATTATGCATTCACATGTATGACTTTATACATTGGCATGATTGTCATTATATGATTACATGTGACATTTAATGTGATCTTTTTTGACACTGTATGGACATTTTAATTTAGCAATTTATTACGTTTCTATATGTAGGGTATTGATTCATTTTTGTTGATGAAGTTTTGAGTGTGCTTTGTAATTGAATTAATTTTGTTTACATTCAAATTTGTTACTCCGTATTTTTTTGTCGATTCAATTTTGTTAATAATGATTCAATAACAATTTACTATAAATCAAAATGACTGAACGAGAGTTCTTGCCAACAACACGCAGCATGGAAAGCTTTTCTTTAATAATCATACGATTGATTTGGGCAATAGTTTGTGGAACTACTTGGCAAAGCAAGGCACATGGTGATTATGTTACAACATTATGTTCCATGGAAGAGTTGAGGAGGCACTAGAGTGTTATAAGCAAATGATGAGGCATTAAAATAAATTAAATTACATTTTTGACATTACTGACCTTTTCCTAATTTCTAGAGTTGTTGGAGATTGAGACGTAGAGGCTTGAAGTGCATGGGTGTGTAAAAGAGTATGAAACTTTATAATTTAAAAAAATAATTAAATAAAGAGGAAATTGCATGGAAGAGGGGCAGTGAAGGTCCTAATTGGAAACCAAGGATTTGAAAATTCATGCATGAGGCGGCTTAGAGTAGTGCACCAAACTCTAAGATTTAAATTTCAGCACATGTACGAATGAGGAGTTTTGGAATTTAATCATTGTTTAGTTTTGGGAGATGAATGTTAATTACTCTTATTTAGGGAACTTTAAGTTTCAACTCCTATTCTGGAATATGACAACTCTTTTACTCATATTTTAGTCCATCTCCTAAATAGTAGAAGTTTGAGGTGAAACAACAATAGGGTGAAACAAGTAGGACTCATGAAGTACAAAATGAATTGAGCTTAGAAGGTTGTTGGGTTAGATTTAAGAAAATAAAGGCTTTGTGTCCATTTAGTCTAAATTAAAAAAATTTATAAAAACATTTAAGATGTAAAAATTGAAAAATTTTACAGAACATGGGTAACATTAAATTATGATGGAGTATAATTTTAATACTTCATGTCAAATGAGAAATTTCAAAGCCAGGGCGGTAGGAGTAAAATAAATTCATGTCACGCACTTCTTTTTTTTAAAGCAATTCATGGCACTTCTTATTTTTCATGTAATATACTCCCTTTGGTCCAAAAAATATGTAAGTTATTGATTTTGTAAGAGAAAAGAAAAGTGTATTTTAATATTAAATTTCAAAAAAAATTCTTTGATTTGATGGGTAAAAGTAAGATTTGATAGGTAGATTATTAGTAAAAATGTATGATGTGATAGATAGGATATGAAAAAATAAGAGGTAAAAATAACTTTTTATATATAAAATAACTTTATATATATATATATATATATATATATATATATATATATATACACTACCTCCGTCCCATTTTAAATTGTTTGTTTGCCTTTTTTCTCCGTCCCAATATAAATTGCCTGTTAGTTGTTTTCGTAAACTATTAAAAATAAAATACCTAAACTACCCTTAAAATAAGTCATTCTTTTTCACCTTATCTTCTAATTCATCATTACCCCTCTTAAAAAATAATGTCAATTTTGAAAAATCAACTCTATTTTTTATTTTTCTTAAATATGCCCAAAAGTCAAAACGGACGATTTAAATTGGGACGGAGGGAGTATATATATATATATATATATATATATATATATATATATATATATATATATATATATATATATATATATATATATATATATATATATATATATATATATATATATAGTCACGGTTCTTTAACATTATTTTTCATATACTTCCTCTATTTTATAAAACATTTTTTATGTGAGAATTCAGTTTTCAAATTGCTAAATTTTTAATACTCCGTATGGATTAAGCTAGTTTTAATCTCACGTTTGAAAAGAAAAATTTTAATTTGGACTCGAGTCCAAGCTCAACAAAAGTTTAAATTCTATATTGAAAAATGACTTATGTTTTAGTACTATTTATTACAAATATTTGTTCTTTATATTTTATATGAGAGCATAATAATTTCTTGCCATATATTCTTGTATCTAAGCTCAAGTCTTTTTAAAAGGAAAAAAAAAAGTCTCCCTCTTGGCATGTCTACATGTCTGGTTGGCTCATGGATCGCTCTCTGTTTTGCATGACAATGCATGTCATTTTATATTTATAGAAACAATAATCATATGTATTATTGTTCACCAATATGATCTACTCTCTCTATCCCACAAATTTTTTTTATTCATTCTAAAAAAAGTTTCTCATTTCTATAAAAAAGTCACTTTTACCTATAGTAATCCTTAACCTAACTATCATATCACAATTTTTGTACTATTAATCTACACATCGTATCTACTTTTTTTGGGACTGCGTGTGCCCTCACCCCAACCCCGCATTACTACAATATTGTCCACTCTAGGCCAAGTCCTCACAGATTTGTATTGGGACACCTCCGAAAAGACTTCATATTAATGGGATTGAGTGAACCTATATACGTAGTATTTACTCTTAAACATCTGGTGTGGGACTTGGAGGAATCCCAACAAACCTCCCCTCAACCAATTAAGGACCACACAACTTCTGACCTTTCATCCAGCGGTAATCCATTTTTTCTTTTTATCTGCTAACCGTAGATCTTTCCTTTGCTGGGCTACACCATTTTGATCCGCCAAATCATATTGTATTGTCGTGACTATAACTTCACGGGACACGCCGCCCGACCTCCTCTCGTCGGGAAGACTTTCGACACAAGGCACCACCTGCAGATCCTCTTTCTCGGCCTTGGTCTTATTGTTACACAATCACACCAAGTTTTTTTCCACGCTTTACAGTCCGCTGTTCACGCCAGCAAGAACCTGAGCTCTTATACCACATGTTGGGACTGCCCGTGCCCTCACTCCAACCCCGCATTAGTATGATATTATCCGTTCTGGGCCAAGCCCTCACGGATTTGTTTTGGGGCACCTCCCAAAAGGTCTCATACTAATTAATGGGATTGGGTGAACCCATATATTTTGGTTTATTTACTCCTAAACATCTGGTGTGGGACTTGAAGGAATCCCAACACTTTTACGCATCACATCCAAAGACATTTTTGAAAAGTAAACACCAAAATACACTCCTTTTAAATCTTTTAAAAGTTAAAACAGAAAGATTTTGTGGGACGGAGAGATTATCGAAATATAAAAAATTATTCGTTGGCCACAATTACAAGATCGAACTTTTGATTGAGTTGGTTCATTGACATGGTATCGTAACCTAATTGACTACGTAGGAAGTTACATGTTTAAAACTGAGTCTCAATTAGGTTCTAAAATAATTAAAGTTTCACGTACAAGGCTCGAAAAGACTAAGCCTACATGTGAAGCAGCGTGTTAGAATGTACTGGATCATAACCTAGTTAATTAATTTAAACTTTTAGTTGAAACTCATATGTATTATTATTGGTTGGGGCATGGGTGGTGGGTGTGTAGAACAGCCATAATTGTGTGTGGTTTAAGACTTCTGGTTTTGTTACTTTAACAATAAAAAAGTGTATTTTGATATTTATTTTCTAAAAATATTTTGAAAGAGATAGACGTACAAAGGTACCGTGTAATTGATATATATATATATATATATATATATATATATATATATATATATATATCCCTCTTATTATATAAACGTAGAATCCAGTTAGGTACCCATTAATTTTTTGGCTTTTTTCCATCCAAAATATTTGTACTCCTAGACTTTAGTGTTGTACCGTGTCATATACACTCCCCAATATGCCCCAGCCGTTAGAAACATCGTCTATGTCCCAGTACATTCCAACTCTCCTTTGCGTAAACCATCCAAACACAACCTGGCTAATCGTGATGCAATTGAATGGCGATTCAATTTCATCCTTCTGTGTAATCCGAGTAAATACTCGCCAAATTCACGGCTTCACCTGCTGTAGGAGTAAATGCTTGAAGTAGCAATTTAACTCTGGAATTTCAGTGAATCATGTGATGGGTTGCTACAGAATCGGGTGGTTAGTATTCTAATATTGTGCATTTTTCTTGTTCTTGTTCTTGTAGTTGTTCGGATATTACCCTAATTGGATTGTTTGTTCGACAAGATTATAACACAAATTAGTAAGATTTTCATTAAGGATACATTACGAAACGTGGAGGTAAGTACGTCATCAGTTGTCGATCCCCAAAAGTTCCGCTCAATTGGAGGGAGCAATGGAGTAATCTGATATTTTACAGGTAGAAAAAACCAATTTCTTTTACTTTTTTCTAAAATCAGTTCAATATATTGTTTTAAACATTGTTATACATTGTTATTATTCTGCGGGACGTTAGTGTTCTAATGTTGTGTTTAATCATTCTAAAAGTAATTTCTTTGAATTCAGATATATTGTGTGTGATTGTGGAACCTATAAATTCTAGATTGTTTAGAAACTATTCTGAGAGTAAATGGAGAGTTAACATCTTAGGGGGGTGTATTCAATCAGGATTCTGAAGGATTTTTTTGGATTCTGAAAGTCTGTAGGTATTCAATTCAGATTTAAAAAAGTCATTTAAAATCTGGATTTTTCAATTGAGATTTAAAAAAATCCTTCTAAATATGATTGTATTCAAAAATTTGATAAACTTTTA